GATTCCCTGTATTTCCAGTTCCTATCTGTACCAGTGTACATCCTCTGGTCTAGCCAGACTTGCAAGGTCGAATTCGTGTCATGATAGTGGGAGTCGGGAGGATACATTTAGGAACTAGAGGAAAGTTGTATTTTTCATTGTTGCTACATCGCCCCCTGACTGTCTCCTCCCCGATCCCATGAACTTTTCAAAGCTCCCGGTTAGATGGCTGTTATCAAACTTTTAACAACCATAACTTGATAAACGATACAGTGCCAAATATCCAAGGCAGCCCCACAAGATTTATAGTCTGAATCCTTCCCATCAGAAACCCAGTCCAGCAAGGTGCTTGGTTAGGGCTAAGCAGTACCCGTAACAATGCCCTTGGTGTGCTTTATTTTTATACACACACACACATGATTATGAATATATGTTCACACAGCCACATAATGCCTGTGCATAAGCATCTATATACATGTTTATATACACCCAGATAACACGCACACACACTTGGCATATATGATTTTGGATACCACTAGTTTTCTTTGGTGCTGATTTAAATGAGCTAGGGTAGCTTAGTTTGAAAATATCGTTTTTGATTCTTGCAATTTGTACGTGGTCTTCTGACTGCTTAGAATTCATATTATTATTTAAATTTATTTACTTTGCTGAAGGCTATGTTTTCCTGCCTGTCAGTCCTGTTCGTTTGTCAGTTGGTTAGGCTTCTTCTGATAGAAAATTTGGTGGTTTAAACCCACCAATCTCTCCATAGGAGAACGATGATGCTGTGTGCTCTCATAAAGATTTATAGTTTTAGAATTTGTTTATAGGTGGTATCTTTGATATGACTTCTGGTTTAAATTTCTTAGCTTGTTCAGGACAGGAGACTTACCGTTTCAGACAGAGACGTTATCTGTACTTGCAGAGTGATTTGGAGACTCTGCTAGCAGACAGTTTCCTGGTTGTAAGCGTGCTCTTCAGAGCTGCTTCCTTTCAGGATCTGCTTTACCATCTCAAGATGTCCTCGGTGAGCCTTGGGCTTAGCACACTTCTCTTCTAAGAATTTGACAAGAAATTCCGGGAGGCAGAACAGAGGTGGTCATTTTTCATTACCTCATATGATCCAAGTCGTTTTCCGTTGTCACCCTGAGTATCTGTGTTCCGTGGTCAGTGTCATTTTGTGACTAAATTAATATTTGTGTGTTAAAAATAATCTTTATTCTAAATTCAAGGATCAAGATTATAGGACTGGTCCAAGTGAGGAGAAACCAAGCAGGCTTATTCAATTAAGTGGGGTACCTGAAAACACCACGAAGGAAGAGGTGAGCCACATTATCAGTTAGATTTTGTTTTCATTTCCTTTTTGTATTGAAGCACATAATTCACAGTATGGTACAAAGCAATGTTTGGGGAGATCTTGTATGTCCTACACTCAGCTGCCACCAATGACTGCACCTTACCTAACAATAGTACACTGTGTTAGAAGGAGAGAGCTGAACCTGTTTTGACCAGTTACGTACGCATTGAGGTGAGGTTTCTAAGAAAAAGAAAGAAAACAAAAAACACGTAGGTGATTGCTTAGATCTCATATTCGTCCTTTAGGGCCGCGGTTCTCAACCTGTGGGTCGCAGCCCTTTTGGGCATCGAACGACCCTTTCACAGGGGTTGCCTGATTCATCACAGTAGCAAAATGACAGTGATGAAGTAGCAACAAAAATAATGTTATGGTTGGGGGTCACCGCAACATGAGGAACTGTATGAAAGGTTTACAGCATTAGAAAGGTTGAGAACCACTGCTTTAGGACATAATCCAAGTGGAAGGGTTAGAACGCATGCCTTTAAGATGAGTTTGTTCATGTTAGTGAAAACTGGGAGCTGCTAAACTGCCCGGTGTTTGAAGAATGGGCACCTAAATATGACTGAGTTTATAGAAGAACTAGTCAGAAGAACCACATTTTTGGTCAAAGTAACAGATTTTGTGACTTATTCTTTGTCTGCCATTGTGATCCTTACAAGCACCAATTTGTTTAATGATCACAATATCCTAGGAGTAGATATTCATTTGTTCAAAGCACTAACACTGCTATGTGCCCCATGTACTGTTCTCAGCGCTGAATGATATAACAGTGAACTTTATTTCCATGGATGATTTTTAAAAAGTATAAGCAAATAAGTAATTTCAGGTAGTGAATGCTTTCAAAC